TGTGCCTGGCCTACGCCGTGGTATTTCCAATCACCTCATATGCATATGAAAATTGGACAATGAATAAAAAAGAGTGAAGAAGAATTGATGCATTAAATTGTGGTGCTGGTGGAGAAGATTGAAAGTACCATGAACTGCCAAAAGAACCAACACGTCTCTTTTGGAAGAAGTACAGACAAGAATGCTCCTTAGAGGCAAAAGATTGGTGCAATTTCATCTCACACATTCTTGGGACATGTTGTCAAGAAAGCCCGGTCCCCGGAGAAGGACGCATGCTTGGTCAACTGGAGGGGCAGTGAACCTGAGGAAGGCCCTCAACAAGATGGATTGTCACAGTGGCTGCAACAATGGGATCAAGCATAGGAACAATTTTAAGGATGGTGAGGAACTGCGCAGTGCGTTGTTCTGTTGTGCGTAGGGTGGCTATGGGTTGGAACCTACTCAATGGCACTCAACCACAACAACCTTCCACCTGTATGCTGAGCAAACAATCCGGGAAAGTGGACGATGTGAAGCACAGCTCAACATCAGGCCTCGAAGATGACTCATTGACAGCCTGTGATACGGAGGTGACGCGATTGTGTGTGCCGAAAGCAAAGAGGGGATCTGAAACATTCACTAATGACGATCAAAGACTACAGCTTGCAGTCTGACGGCCCCTCCATATAAACAAAATAGAAATCCTCACAATGAGACAATAAGGAACATCATGGTGAATGCGAAAATATTGAAGCTGGCAAGGATTCCATTTCACTTGGCGCCATAATCAGCGCTCATGAAGCAGCAGTCAAGAAATTAAATGACAGGCTGCACTGGGCAAATCTGCTGCAAAAGGCCTCTTTCAGGTTTTAAAAAGCAAAGATGTAGCTTTGAAAACTAAGACTTTGCCTGCCCCAAGTCATGATATTTCCAATCATTCCATAAGCCTGCAAAACCCTAACAAGGAATACCCACTGTCCCCTGCTATCAAATCCCTTTTGACTCATGCCCACCCTATAGGATAGAGTAGAACTGCCCCTTCAGGTTTCTGAGACTTTAAATCTTTACAGGAGCAAACTCATCTTTCTCCAGTAGAGCAGCTGGTGGATTTGAACCACTGACCTTGAAGTTAGCAGCTCAACGAGCAACCTAATCTGTCACCAGGGCTCCTGACAAGGAATAAGGAAAACGGAAAAGGAACTGATGCGTTTGGAGTACAGTATTGGCAAAGAACTTTAAATATGCCATAAGCATTATCAAATATGCCCAGAACGAATAAATCCGTCTTGGAAGAAGTACAGACTATTGAACATGTTCTCAGGAGAGGCCAGTCCCTGGAGAAGGGTATCAATTGGTAAAGTTGAGAGTCAGCAAAAAAGAAGGGGCTTCAAGGAGATTGACTGACATAGTGGCTACACCAGTGAACTCAAACGTAGCAACAATTTTGAGGCTGGCACAGGACCGGGAAGTGTTTCATTCGGTTGTACACAGGGTTGCTATGAATTGGAACCAATTCAACGGTGCCTACCAACTCAATAGTACCTAACTACAACAACATCTACTTGGTACCATGGCTGGGGTCATTACCACCTTAGTCCTCAGAGTGATCTCTTTGCTCCTTTAGAGGCTAGTAGGTTGAAGGTCCTTAGCAAGGATAGACAGGCTTTGTCTCCTGTGCTTTGGAGATATTGTCAGAAGAGGTCAATCCCTAGAGACAGACATCACACTTGGTAAAGTAGAAGGTCAGCCAAAAAAGAGGAAGACCCTCACTAGGATGTTTGACACAGTAGCTGAAACAGGGCACTTAAACATAACCCTTGTGAGGGGGCACAAGATCGGCAGTGTTCTTTTTTGCTATACAGAAGATCGCTTTGAGACAGGCCTGAGTCAGGGCACCTAACAATGACAGCAAAGCTAAAGGAATGATCTTTTATAGGTTAGCAAGTTCAATGAAATTATAGCTTTAGATTTTTGCCTGCATATAAAAAGTGCTAGTTGTTTGCTACTGTTATTTTTCATTCAGTATAACTTCTTCAATTCAATGTAACAATTTTATTTGAGCTCTTTAAAAAAAAAAGTTTTTTTATCCAAAGTGCTAGGAACCCTGGTGGTGGAGTTGTTATGCATTGGGCTGTGATCAGAATGGTCGGCTGTTCGAAACCACCAGCAGCTCCTTGGGAGAAAGACTGGGCTTTTTACTCTCATAAACGGTTACAGTCTCAGAAACCCACAGTGAGTTTGGAGGTATTTTTTGGATCCAAAGCACCAGACTTCTGAGACATCAGCTAAATCCACATGGAAGAAACACACACCAGCCTTTGTGGTCCAAGGATGAGAAATAATAAAATCCAAAGTCGAAGGAGGGCATGGTATCAGTGCTTACATTGTAAATACCTGGTTTGCAGAAGGTTATCCCTAACCTTCTGTGGAACAACAGTGGAAACCCAAAATCCATTTGCAGAGTCTCCACGTTGATTAAACCTCAAGTGCATCCCTGCTGACATCATCCAGGGATGTGAATAGTCTTGCTTTCTGAGAGCATGGTCAAGTTCATTATGGCAGATATGGTTAGATTAAAATATAACACCTTCTCTTTGATCGCTCTTTTGACCCATTTTAAAGTTGACTCTGTTTTTATTATTTTCTGCTTTCTTTTCCGTTGAGGTTTTTCTATGTTTTTGTCTAGTTCATCTTGCTGGTGTTTTGTTTGTTTACTTATTGCCTGTTTTTGTTTTGTATGATTTTCTGTATATGAAATCCAGGATAGTAGGTTCATAGACAGTAATTGGATAGATAATTGCCTAGGGGCACATCAGGGGAACTGAAACAAAACAACAACAAAAACTCACAGCCACCAAATTGATATTGACTCATAGTGAGGTTATAAGACAGGGTAAAACTGCCCCATATGGCTTTACAAGACTATAACTCTCTAAAGGAATAGAAGCCTCTTCTTTCTCCAAGCAGCTGATAGTTTTGAACCACTGACCTTGTGATTATTAGCCCAATGTGTAACCACTATGCTACCAGGGTTCCTGGTAACCCAGGGCATGGGCTCTGGGGGAGGCACTCATTCTCTGTCTGCTTTCAGGGCCGAGCCTCCTCTCGTTCAGCGTGAGGAGCCCAGCCTCCTGGTCCTTAACAACCCTCAGGTGACAATCATCCCGGGTTCTAGTTGTGCTTGCTGCGGTTCATAACCACACCATGATTCAGTCTAGGACTTTCCACCACTAACCAGGTCACAAGAACATAACAGAGAAATCCCTATTTCCAGGCAAGATTTCAGGGGGGTTCAACAGATCTTGGGAGTTGGCAAGATGGGGACCCAATGCAGCCTGTAGCACAGCCATCTGCTTCCACACTGCCCCGTATACCCCATTCTCCACTCTGGGGATTCTGAGCATGCCCTTGCCCGCACACAGCCTGCATGGTGACCAAACCCAACCCAAACTCGCTGCCATGGAGTTGATTCTGACTCCAGAAAAGACTTTCTACTCCAGGAAAGAGTTCCACTTTGAAGAACCCACAAGGGCAGTTCTACCCTGTCCTATCGGGTGGCTGTAAGGCACAGTGACCCACTGGCCTGAAAACAGCCTGACTCTGGACCCGCCCTGCACGGTCTGATGACCACATGTGGCTAGGCTCTTTTTGATCCGGGAAAGGGAAGTAAAACGAGTGTCTCAGTTCCTAATACCACCAGCCATGCTCCAAGCGCTCACACGTGACCTGCAGATTCAGCACATTTCCAGCTTTGCAGGAGGTCCAGCAGGGCTCCAGCCCAGCCTCTGCACAGGCCACTTGCATAAACGAGCCTCACCCCCCTGCACTCAGGATCTACTGCCCAGGACTTTGCATGGTCGGTTCCCTCTGAGGATCCTACAAGGCCAGCAAACTCCTGCCTGCCTCCTGCCTCAGCACCCCACCACTTCCTCCAGGATGTCTGCTCTCAGTGGAGCAGCTGCCCGAGCTTGTGGTCATCGAGCAGTTAAAACACGGGTTCTCTCAGCTGCTGGCACGCCTGTAGCCCTCTCCCCACCCATGGCTCTCAATGGGAGGCTATGCCCCAGGGGACCACTGACAATGACTGGGGGGACATTCTGGGCTGTCACAGCTAGGTAGCTGCTACCGGTCCTGCTCCACAGGCACAGCAAAAGGCCGGAAACTGCTGCATGCAGACAATGAATAAGCAAGACCAGAACACAAAGGCCTTCGAATCATGGTGCTGGCGAACAGTCTTCAGGGTACCTAGGGTTTCCAGTAGGATACACAATCTGTGTGGGAAGAAGTAAAACCAGAATGCCCCTCAGAGCTAGGATGGTGAGGATACGTCTCATGCGCTTTGGGACAGGTTGTCAGGAGAGGCCAGCATGCTCCACGCTGCCCATGGGCAGCAGCCGGGTCCTGTACGCTGCCTGTCTCCAGCCCAGCCTGACAGGGCGTGCAGAAGTGCTCACAGCTGACCTAGCAGATACAGGCCCAAGTTCCACATCCCGTAGGACTGTTCACCCAGCATCCCTATACTCTGTGAGCATCTTCCTCAGAAACCACCATCCAAAGCCTCCCATTCTGGGAGTGACCATTGGAATGTGAAAAGCAGGAGCCAGGCCTCACGCCCGCTGCCTAGATGTGGCTGCCGCCTGGGCCATTAGCAGTGGCATGGATTGGTTATTCCTTAACCCAGACACGATGTCCCCACTCATACCCTCCAGCCCCAGTGCCATTCTCTGGACCTTGCACCTGCTGTGTGACATCTGCTTGGGACACGCTCCCATGGCTGCCCGCTGCCCACTGCCCTCACTCCCCAGGGCCCTCTCCGTCATCACCCTCCAAACACCACTCCCTCGCTAATTCTCCAGGGACCCTTTGTTTATCTGCTCCCTTCAATGTGCATCACATGAAATGTACATGCTATAGCGGACTTGTGTCACCAACGGTGGGCTTGTTCAATGTCACTCTCAGCACACAGGTGGGCAGGTGCCTGGTTTGATCTCTCCCCAGTTGTCCCTACCCCGGGGTCCTACCTGATCTTGGCTTTCCTGAAGGCCAGCTCCTCCTCATTGCCAAAGTCCAGAGACACATCCTCTGTGTCATCCACCAGGGCCTGGGGGAGGGGGATCAATGCTGGCGGGCGCCCCCATGGGCAGCTGCATGTGCCACCCACCCGGCACGCCCTGGGCAGATCTTGCTGGGCTCCCAAGCCGTCCCTCAGAGCTGGTGGGTCCTCTCCGCCCGCCTGACCAGGCCCAGCTGGCCCTCAGCAGGTGCCATTTGGGGCCCAGCCCAGTTTTCCCATCTCCGCGCATCCCTCCTCCTCTTCCTCCTCGCTGGTCCCCAGCAGGCTCCTCCCCTCCTCCAGCCTTCCGCCCAGCATCCCAGCCTCCGCATCCCTACCTGCTTCATCTTCCGGGCCCACCTGGAGCCCAGGCTCAGGCTCAGGCTCAGCTCCCCTCGGGTGCCGGTGGGGGTCACGGCAGACACCCAGAGGTACCGCCACTGCGCGGGGTGGGGTGGGCGGGCGTGAGGCGCTCTGGGCCCAGAGTGCAGTCGCGGGGAAGGTGGGGTCAGTTCCCAGAGGGAGATAGAAGGGACAATCCAGGCCCGCCCCGCGCCGGGGGCTCGCAGGGAATGGGCCAATGAGGTGGCTGGGAAAATGGGCGGAGCGTAGAAAGGGAAGGCGAGGGGAGAGACCCATAGAAAAAGGGCGCCTGGGAAGGACCGGCTAGGGCTCAGAGGTGGACAGGGCTACAGTGGCCTTGAGACCCGTCGAGAGAAATGAGAGTGGGTTGGTACAGAGTGGCTGTAGGAGTGAGTGGATGAGTGGGTGGGTGGGTGAGTGAGTAGCCTCCTTCAGAATTGGAGACCCTCAGGGTTTCCCAAAGTTTTGAACACAGAATTCTCCAGGGCCCCCATTGAAAAAGAATTCCCAGACCACCCTCTGGAGAACCAGGTCCCAAGGGGGGCCCTGGGATCTGCTTGTCAACAGGTAGCCCTAGGTGGATTCTGCTACATGCAGAACCCCACCCTCTCCAGGCTGCCCCCACCCCACATACACACACCCTGAGGGTGTGTCCAGTGAGGGAACCCAGTGCCCCAGGGCTGGCCTGGAATCCACCCAACACAGCCCGGGGGACAGGTCAGTAGGGGCAGCGGGGAGTGGAATGCAATGTCATAGGTTTGCGGGGTGACTGCCAGGCTCCTTGTCCTTGGGAGACACTGCGGCGCCCTGTGCCACTGTGCTGCCATCTCCATGAGGGTGCCCGTTCCTCCCACCCTCTGCTGGACCAGGCATGAGGTTGGTCATTCCTGGTGGTGACGGGTCCAAAGTCTCGGTTAGTGTGCTGGCTGCATCAGGACCTCCTTGGTTAATTGGTTGCAAATTGAAAACCAGGCCTTCCTGCCTAGTCTCAGTCGGACAGTTCTCCTGTAGTCTGTCCACCACAAGTGCCACTACAGGTATTTCAGATGCTGGGGGAATAGCTGCCAGCTTCACAGCAACACGCCTGCCACCAGCGTGCCACAAACTGACAGACACAGGTGGTGGTGGGTGACAGGAGCTGCAGCTATTTCCTGACGTCACCCCCAACCTGATGACTGAGAATGACAGTTTGTCCGCAAATGGGGCTTCCAAAGGGGCTTTCCCACCTCCCCATTGCCTTGGGGGAGACTCTCTAAGCCCCAACTGACCAAACACCAATGGCTGGTGCTGCTCAGAGTCAGAGAAAAAGCCCCTAAATGTCCTGCAACTGTTTCTCCCCTCCCCAGCCTTTGGGGCCCCTTCCCTGAGAGCCAGTGCCCAGAGATGGGGGCCCTAGGATGTCCCAGACTCAGCCAGCCGCTTTCAGCTCCCGAGAGTTGCTTTGGGCAGGAAGAGTCAACAGGCCTTCTAGAAAGGCTGCCATGGTGAGGTAAGGTCTGACCTGAGCCGTGCAGAGCCTCAGGCCCCACCCTGAGCCAGGCTGCACTCTGACCAGACCCAGAAGGCTGAGAGGTTCCACTTCAAAACACTGCTTCTGCACCTTTTCTCCTCAACACCCAGGAGCGTGAAAAATCCCAGCCAGGCCTGGCCCCACCCCAGGCCAAGCAAACCACCCCATTGCC